AATAAAGAAGACACTGGTTTTGCTTGCTTCACCAGACATCTGGTAGTATAATTAAGTTTTATGGAAAATGCTCCAGGGCTTCCATGGACCTAGATCCTGTGGTGGATACCCTGTAAAGGACCCCAGATCTAGTCTTCTCTCACTCTCATAGTCATACAATAGCTAGTTGGAGCCCCAGGGGTTCCAGCTTTATCTTTAAAAATTTATCTTCTATTGCAAGACTGTTTAGATCCAGGATGAATTGTGAAATAGTGAGAGATGGATACAGAATGGCAGTCTAATTTAGAAAACTATTCTTCAGTTAGATCTTTTTAGCAAAATGCAAGGAAGTGGTGTGAAATTCCTTATGCTCAGGCTTTTATGGCTCTTTATCTCTGGAAAGGACCAAGCACTAAGGTATTTAAAGAGGTATCTAAAGAAAAAAAAATGGTATCTTTGGTGATCTTGTCCTCAGATATCTACTTGTCTTTCATGAGAATATGAACCTCTCTCATTGGATTTCACCAGTGTTTAGCCTCCTCTTGTTGCTGAGATAAAATATCTGCTGCCCAAAGTTAAGGGAGAGAGGATTTATTTAGCTCATAGTTTGTAAAGGTTTCAGTCCATGATTGGCTGGCTCCAAGGCAGGGTGGCACCACAGAGGAGAAACAGTTCACAGTGGGCAGAAGGTAACAAAGCAACAAGGGATGACCACAACTTTCTCTATCTCTTATGTCTGTATCCCTTATGTCTCTATCTCTATTCAGGTTACTTAAGGCAGGTAGCACTCACACCCTTAATCCTAGTGTCCTTGACCCTAGCATTGCTCCATGAATCAGTCCCACTATCATATACTCTAAATCCAGCCACCTCTGAAAAAGCCCCACGTATGACTACAGGAGGTTTTGGGGGGATATCTAGACACAAGCCAGAACAACACCTTAGAAAGACCCAATATTTTCAAACACAACTCATTTACCAGACAGGGCCTTTTCTGTGTTCAACAGCTGGGACCCAGATAAAGGTGAAAGGAGAAACTATAGCAACTAGCAATGCTTTAAACATCGCCAAGTTGTCTAAGGGAAAACCCAATTTCAATTCTTTTGGTTTCTAATTTAACTTCTTTCTCTGGAAAATCCTCTTTTTCATCTACAACATATCTGGACTTAATGCAAGTTAGTTATACCATTAGTGTCACTTAGTTCACTGAATAGGAAAGGTTGTGCTAATATTGATTGAAGAAATTTTTATGCCCATATTTTGTACTTGAGTGACTAAAGATAATGATGTGTAATTTGTCAACAATTGTTACTTTTTCATTATTTTGTTGTAAAAATTTGTTTTACCTTTTCTTCTTAATGTTACCAAATAAAGTAAAAAAAAAAACATATCTGGACTTGAGGGACACCGTAGTCAGAGCTTTTTTACTCTTGCTTTGATATGACAATTCAAAGGTCAAATGTTCATCTGTGAGTTTTTAATTATTCCATCATGCCCACTCCTTTAGTAAGAAGGAATATGGCAGCAAAACTGTGGGCAACTCCCTAAATGTGGTAAAAGGTTAAAGCAGATTTTGCCCTTTGGGACTCTCCACACCATGCTTCTGGACACCTGAGGTTACCAAAAAGACATGCACTATTCTTAGCTGGATGTGGTGGTGCACTCCTGTAATTCCAGCATTTGGAAGCCTGGGGCAGGAGGATTCCCATGTGTTCAAAGTCATTTGGGGCTACATAGTGAGTTCAAGGCTATCCTGAACTACATAGCAAGACTCTGTTCTCCCCATCCCCACCCTGCAAAGACTTACACTATTCTTTTTTTTTTTTTTTTTTTTTTGTCTTTTTCATTTTTATTGGTACCAGGGATCGAACTCACGACTGCCTGCTTGTAAGGCAGGCGCTTATGCCGCTGAGCTAAACCCCCAGCCCGACTTACACTATTCTTAATCCTGCTGCACTGAGGCTTACAGGCTCAGAGGTTAGCCACTCTTGTTAACATGTGATTTCCCAGACCTACACAGAAGACAGGATATCCTGACCCGCCCTTCTTAGAGTGTCAGAAGCTATGGTTCACTGATTGAAGTAGCTTTGTCGGAGCAGTACATAAAAAGGCAGGTCACTGAGGCCAAACTCCTACCCTCAGGAACCTCTCTGCTCAAAAAGCAAAGCTCATAACCCTTACTCACATATTGGTGCTAGAAAAAAGGCAAAAAGCTAGATATTTACACAGATTCCAAATATGCCTTTCTGTTCTACATATCTATGTAGCAATCTGGAAACAAGGGAGCTTGCTAACTAATAAAATAGGGAATAAACAAACAGGGAATTCTAAAACTCATAGAGATAGTGTATCTTCTCAAGCAGGTTGCTGTTATTCACTGCAAGGGACCTCCAAAGAGACATGTCCAAAGTCTCCCTGGGAAATGAAAAGGCCAGTAGAGCGGCAAGAAGGGCAGCCTTATATCCCCTATACCCTTACGGCACTAGTCTTATTTTCAGTTTCTGAAGAACCGTTTAACTGGTCCTTTCTCAAGGGACACGGTAAAAAGCTATAAAAACCCTACATGGTAGTCACTCAAATTTTTGCAGGACTAGAATTAGCAGCAAAATTAGACAGATTTGCAAAAATTAGACAGATTTTCACCTTGTCTATGAATCTTGGCCAGATCACACCATCTCCTTTGTGAGGACCTGTACAGAGGAGAGGGGAATACTCTGGGGAGGGCTGCTAATTATAAAGCCAATTCCATGTGAATTGTCTCAAGAAAAAGACCACCCAAAACAATAAAACTATTCCTATGAACCTCTGGAAGACCCGGGGTTCCTCTTCAAAAATCAAGATTTCATTACTGCTCTGAGTACAGATAAGTAAGTGGGCATTTGTATTGAGACTCCTGTTTTCAATTAGATCCCATGGTGTGGGTAATCTTGCAAAACTTATAGCATTCAGGATCTAGATAATTTATCTAAAATTCTTCTTTGCCATACTTTTCTCCTCCACAGAAAGTGCAGGAACCTGACCTGCTTCTTTTCATATTTGGGCGCTATATCTCCAACTTAATAGTAAAGTAACTATCCTGACATTCACCAAGCTTTTCCCCATTAAACAGGCAGCTAAACAGTTATTCATACACAGACATGAACTCTTTTCTCATTATCTCCCAACAGGTTTTTATTTCTCTTTAAGAGCACTAAGTGGGAAGGGCCTATGGCCCAGGAGGAAGTAGATATACTAAGACTGAGCCCTCCACTCCCCAGCAGCCCAAAGAGTTATGCAGATATGTGTCTCTCAGCAGGAAATGAGACTGGAGATTAGGGTGTGGCAGGCTAGCTGGGGAAGTAGGTGTGACCTCTTAACTTCAAAATCCCAGAACACACACTCAGAGTAGTTCCCAAGTCCTGCACATGGACCTCTTGCAATAGCTGGAGCTGTTTTGGATAGAACAGCCCAGACCTGACATTAGCTTGGGGAGCATGAGATACAAGAACAGTCATGGTTGAGATTTCTGTTACTATATTCTCTCTTTACATAGTAGAGCACTCTCACTATAGAGTATACTTTTCTTTTAGCCTTTACTTGGCCCCAAATTGCTCATACAGCACATTTCTTTTCTTACCTTTAATAAACATAAAAGTAACTACCCATCGTGTTTGTCTTGCGCAGTTCTTTGTTCAAGGCAAGCAGAACCTAGAAACTACACATAGAAGGAGACTCCAGCACCAAAACCCAGTGAAAGGAGAACTGCAAGTTTGAGCCCAGCTTGGGCAACTTAGTGACTTAAAGAGACCCTGTCTCAAAATAAAAAAATAAAATAAATAAAGGGCTCAGAATGTAGGTCAGTGTGAAGATTCTGGGTTCAACCCTCAGCACTGGGGGTGGGGAGGAGGACAAAAAAAAAAAAAAAAAGAAAAAGAAAACTAAGAGTGGGGGTTTTAGGAATGTAACTCAGGGCCAAGGCCTTGTGCACCAAAAAACAGAAACAAAATGAAACAAAAACAAAGCAAAAAACCAAAAACACTCCAACCCCCCCCCCCAAAAACCAAAACCAACTCCCAACCAGAACCCCCAAACAAACAAAAACCTAAAAATAGTTTAAACGAACTGTGAATAGTTCAAATGCACAGTTCAAATGAAAATATTTCTAGCCCATGAGCTCCAGTGAACCATTAAATCCATATTTGTCTGACATGTTTCTGGTCTCTGTTTTCTCCTGGTGACAATAATCTCCACATTTAGGAAGTGTTTCACACTCTTCAATGTGTATTCATGTCATTTGATTCTCGTGACTTGCTGTCGTTTTTGTTTCTGTTTTTGAGATAGGGTCTCACTATGTACTCTAGGCTGGTCTTGAACTCACTAGGTAGCCCAGACTGGCCTCAAACTCATGGCAATTCTCCTGCCTCAGCCCCCAGAATGCTGGGATTACAGGTGTGTGCCATCACATCCAGCTGATTGCCTCAACTATGAGAGACAGTGGGGAGATGAGGGAAATGGCAGACAGCCTAGCCTATGGCAACTTGTCCAACATCACCATTTGCAAGGAGCAAGACCCAGGTCTTCTGATTCTGAGTCAGTACCGATCCTTGAGCATTTCACTCCATCTTTGTCCCTCCCTATATATGTTTAAGTTATGTGGTCATCTAGGAACACGAAATCTTTCTAGTAATCCATTTCTCATTATCGTTCAGTACCTGTTCAAACTCTGTCTACATAAAATGCTCCTCAGCTAAATTAAGTTTACAAGCTTTTACTCCTTTTTCTGAACTTCCATTGTTATTATAGATAGTGACTTACAAATTAGTGCTTATAAACAGTCCTAAACCATCAAACTATTTACATCATTTCACATTATCTTATACCCACAATGAAATTCTAATTCCCTGAATGATGGGGGTACACTGTTCTTCTCTGCTATTCCACACAGTTTCCCCCCTCAGTGTTAGAACACAAAATGGTCTGTTTAATGCTGGCTATGTTAGGCAGTCTTCTGAGGAAGAGTTAAGATGATACAATTAACTTACCAGCCTGATGTTGTCTTCTGGACGAAGTAATATGAACATTGCTTGGAGATGCTGTTGGAGATCACCTAGTGAAATTTAGAAAGCACAGGATAATTATTCTCCATTCTAAATGAAGACAGGATTCCATCTACTTTAGTGATTTGGAAAGGAATGTTCTGGTTCTAAAGAACTAATGAGATACAGATATTAAATAATATTGTTATTGATTCCTTTTTTAAATGGGAAGAGAATGGTATACCATATGTTTAAATATTCACTTTTAATCTATGTATTAAAATTTGGAGGGGGCTGGGGATTTAGCTCAGCGGCATAAGCACCTGCCTTGCAAGCAGGCGGTCGTGAGTTCGATCCCTGGTACCGATAAAAATGAAAAAGATAAAAAAAAAATTGGATTAGTCCTATGGAAAACAGACTTGGGGCCAGTCTCAGTTTTGTACAGTGGTGGATGCTGATGAGAGCTGTGTTGGTGAGATCTGCTAGGAAGAAGCAGCACTGGTTGTACTTTCAGGACCACTGAAGGTAGCAATAAAGGAATTTTAAAATGGGGTATGCAGGGGCTGGAGTTTTAGCTCAGTGGCATGAGTGCCTCCCTGGCAAGTGTGAGGTCATGAGTTTGATCACTGGTAGTAAAAAAAGGGTGGGGAGGGGGGTATATGCAATTGATGCTGAAGAATTATTCCTAACTTAAAAAAACTCACCTTTTTTTACTCCTTTTTCTATAATTATATTCTTCCTTTGGATTTAATCTAGAAAGATTATTAAGAGTTCTCCCTAGAATACTATCAATAGTTTAAAATAATTCCACATTAGTGTCTGAGAATGTATATTAAATCTAGCATATTATGGATATCTAATTTTTCTAAACATATTAGGTGCTTTAAAACAGTCAACTAGTTTTTGAATTCTAACATTTTCTTATATTATTTATAAAATAAGTATAAGCTATCTCAGATTTTCTCATATTCTCTATTCTGTACTACAAAATCTAAGGCTTTGGCTAACAGGAGACAATTAGAAAATGTGCTGTGATAAATGATGACAAACTAAGAACTAAAAACTTGATTCTTGCCCACACAGATGCAGCTCTTTCTAGGAGTGTAAGATGACTGACACTTCCATATAACCAAAGGTACCAATATAATCTGTTCTCATGTTAGTCTTGGAATCTACCTACATTTCTCTCATGTTAACTTCACAGCTGTGGATTATAAGGTGACATGTGCAAGAAGTGGAGAGAGACAGGAAGAAAAAATAGATTGGGAATAGATGTGTTTGTCTAAAAGGTCAAGAAGTCTGAGAGCCTTTCCTTCAACTGCCCTCTCTTAAAAAATAGTTTTCTTGCCCCACTCCTATACCTGCCATTTTCCTGTTGGCGTCTTAACTTCGCTATTGCAGAAACTTTCAAATTTTATTTTACTTTTTTAAGACACTGTCTTGCTAAATACAGTTATTTATTATAACCCAAAGTTGGAAACAACTCAAAGGTTCATCATCTGATGACTGAGTAAATAAAATGTAACATATCCATGTAATATAGCATTTATTACTTGATCATGAAAAGGAATAAAGTAATGTTATATACTATAACATGGGTGACTCTTGGAAACACTATGCTAAGGTAAAGAATCATAGAAAGGTCCTCTTATATGATTCTATTTATATAGAATATCTAGAAGTCAAATCAAAAGATTAAAAGTAGATTAATAGTTTCTACAGTGTAAGGAGTAGGGTAGAAAGATGAGGAACAGACAGTGAATGCTAATGGGCATGGGGTTTCTTTTTGAGGGGATGAAAATACTCTAAAATTAGACTGTGATGATAGTGGTACAGTTCTGAATGCACTAAAAACCACTGAATATGTATATTATAATGGTTAAATTGTTGAATTGTATCTTACTCTGTTAAAAAATAGAAGAGTAAGTGTGAAGTGACAAAGTATTAGGTATTGACAATGACAAGTGACCAGAGTTATAATTATAATTGAGGTAAGCAGTTGAAGCTTTCTAAAAAGTAAATTTTCATTGTCCTATCTGGATAAATAACCAAGGAAAAGATTTTTCAGAATAGAAAAATTCTGGAAGAGAACCCTCGATACTAGCCAAAGTACTCATTGTAGGTGTTACCAGTCTAAAAATCCAGCTAGCTTCTTGAAGGTCAGACAAAAGTGAGGAGTCCTACTCTCATAGTAAGGCTTCTTACATGAACTGGGTATGTTTGCTAGCTATGAAAAGTATTGCTTTAAGCAAACTGAATATTATTTGCTATTCGGAAATTGTTCTTCTCAGGGACTAATGGAAGTTATATACCAGGGCCTCCTACATTTTCGCATATATTGTCACTGCTAGGATATAAATTTCAGATGTGTGTGATTTTAAGGACTTTTCTATATTCCTTTAGAAGACTGGCAGATTTTCATCCAATAATCTTTACTGCAAAGTGAGTAAATGCCTATAAGACTAAAACTTTTGGAGGTTGAGGCAGGAGAGTTGCAAGTTTGAGCCAGCAACTTAGGGAAATCTTACGGGGAGAGAGAGAGAGAGAGAGAGAGAGAGAGAGAGAAACTAGGGATGTAGTTCAATTTGAAAACCTTGGGTTCAACCCCTAGTATCAAAAACAAAATAGTATTTGGATATTTTAGAAAGCAACCACATAAAAAGTTCTAACCAATCCAAGCAATAAGTATATTATGGTTCATGTTTGGATGTCCTCCCCAAAGCCTCATGAGATCATGGGCGGCAGGCCTTTTGAAGGAGGCTGAGCCTAGCATTTGTGATTTTTTCCTTGTCTAGCACTGGGATTGGTGGTATGAGTGTTGAATCTGCCCAGCAGTGGGTGGTCTGTCTACAATGTAAGGGAGAAGAAGAGGCTTGCTCTTCCCACTTTTGCTCTGTTGCTTTGCTGTCTTCTGACACTTGAAGTGTTGTCTTTATGTCATGCCATCCTGCCTGGGAGCCAGCTGAGTATGGACTGAAATCTCCACAACCTGTAAGCTAAGTAAACCTTTCCTTCCTTCATTTTGGGCATCAGGTATTTCGTCCCAGCAACAAGAGAAAACTAACAACGACAACACAGAAGGCAGTATAATTAAGACATAACATAGCTCTGATGTGCTCTCTATTCTGCCAACATCTTTTAATTTCTGTGAGTTCAGCCAAGCAGCTTTAGTTTATGCGAAGTGATGGCTTTTTCCAAGCTGCTTTTATATTTATACTACTTCATCTACTCTCGTCTGGATCACAAATCAAGACTATCCAGCTTGTGTTAAATCTGCTTTTCTTTTTAGTATAGGGAAAGCTACGTGAACAATGTCAAGTACAAATCTGGGTGGCAGTTTGAGTGTAAAAGTCTCATCAAAGAAAAGCCAACCAAGGCCAGGAGTTAGGGGTCACCAACCCCACTTAACTATTACATGCACAGGGCAGTTCTCCTGACATCTTATCAGACAAGCTAGATTTAAACCAATGATTGGTCTTCTTTTTACTGTAAGTGATAAATATCCACACCTAATAGAAATACAAAGCTTAGCTGGATCTATTTACTCTATACATTCAAATTTTTGATGAAGTATGCTCCTCCTTTTCCTTCCCAGCTCAGTTATGGGCATTGAGTAGGAAGGATTTATAAAACATAACTCAAATGAAATATTTTCTTTTTTTTTTTTTTTTTGGTCTTTTTCATTTTTATCGGTACCAGGGATCGAACTCACGACTGCCTGCTTGCAAGACAGGCGCTTATGCCGCTGAGCTAAATCCCCAGCCCCCCAAATGAAATATTTTCAAAATATTGTTTCTTCCTCACTTTAAAAAAATTTTCCCACTACTAAAGTACTCGTGGGAGGATAATACTAACAAAATGGATTATAATTTTGAACTGCTACATTTGTTACTTGATAAAAGCCCAAATGATACAGAGACCACTAAAATAGCTGAAATTATCTTGACTAGAGCTAAATTCAACTTTTGGACCAGCGGGATCCAGTATTTCTGGTATTTACCTCTGCCCTGCACATTCAAGATTTGTAGTCTTCATTGTTTTCTTCCTGGTAACTACAATTCCTTCTACTCCTGGAGGCCACAAATCATCAAAAGGCATATTTATGACAACAAGCAATTACCTCTTTGTGTAGTATTGATCAAGATTATTATTCTACTCAGATTCACTTTTATTTTGAGATAGAGTCTCACTATTATAGTTCAGGCTAGTTTTGAACTAACTATGTAACCCAGCCTGGCTTTGAACTTGTGGAGATACTCCTGTATCAGCCTCCCAAGTGCTGGGATTACAGGTATGTGTTACCATGCCTGGTTCTTAGGTTGATTTTTGTCTTCAAAATGACAATTCTTGCCAGTGGAGGGGAAAACTCAGGCTGTTTATCTTCCAAAGCTGTGGATACTGACAAGCCTTTTCCCCAGGGACACACTTAATGTTCATCACATAAGTGCACTTAACTTTAGAGAAATCCAACACGAGGAAATGCAATGTATATACTATCAATAGTGGATACTTCAAAGCCAGATTTTACATTTACTCTTGGAATAATTATCTGATGTCTCCTTGTTTATCAAAGTCTTTCAGATTAAATTTTCAGCTTTTTATTTGGTATACATTCAATAAGCAGATTCTGGCATGCCATAACAGGTATTTTAACATGTGATGTAACAATCCCTTCAGCAGAGTATTTTTGTACTTTCTCATTGTTATTCCAACAAAAAATTTACTGAGTATCTACTGTGTGTGAAAGGCATTCTGATAAATGTTAGAAAAATGATGATAGCTGAAAGAAAAGTGAGCATAGCATGATACAATGCTTGCTTTTTTTTTGGTCTTTTTGAGACAGGGTCTCACTGTGCAGTTCAGGCTGGCCTTGAGCTCACTTTGTAACTCAGGCTGGTCTTGAACTCACAGATCCTCCTGCCTCAGCCTCCTGACTGCTATGATTACAGGCCTGTGTCACCATGCCCGGCCACAATGCTTGCTTTCATTATTAAAAAATTTTTGGAATAATGGGAATGAGGGATTCAGCTTTAAGACAAAGCAAAAGACAAGGTAATCAAGAAAAAAATAATTTGTGTTCAGCTTTACCTGCATGCTTGTTACGTCTGTGGCTGATTCTTGGTGTGGATGAGCCATTTCCCCTTGGCAGAAAAAGTGCAGCACCTTTGACAGTTAAAAAGCTCTCGCTGATGCTATAAGAAAAAAATGTTAAAAGAAAATAAATTAAAAGAACAAAATTATGGAGGAGAAACAAGACCTTTTTAAGGTTATTCCCTATTCCTTTTTCCATAGTTTCAACATCAGAGGGTAAGTAAGAACAAAATCAAGACAGACTGGGTTCCTATGTATAGCATGGTCCTACCTATTACAATTTTTCTGACACAAACTTACAATACTGGGGTCTGGGGGTTTAGCTCAGTGGCTTAAGTGCCTGCCTTGCAAGCGGGTGGTCACCAGTTCAGTCCCTGGTACCGATAAAAAAAAAACATAATACTGTACATAAAATATATGATAGCAGTTAAGAGTGAAAACTCTGTAACCAAACACAAGGGTTAAGGCTCTAGAACCAGGACTGGGTTTGAATCCTAGTCTGCCACTTTCTCCCTGAATGAACCTTTTTGGGTCTAAATTTTCTCATCTGTAAAATAGCGATAAGGCTGGGGATTTAGCAGGCTGGGGATTTAGCTCAGCAGGATAAGTGCCTGACTGGCAAGTGTGAGGTCGTGAGTTCAGTTCCCAGTATCATAAAAATAAAATAGGAATAAATACTGATAATAAAAGGTTATGTGATTAATGGTTATCACTAATGATGTCCACCAATAGTGTCCTGTGCTGATCTGATTATTATCAGATGTGAAATGTTTCAATATTTAGTTACTAATGATAGATCCACAAATTTGTAAAAAGGATTTATACTTAAAATACACACACCACATTATAGTGTTAGCTCATGGGCTGGAGATACAGCTCTGTGGCACAAGCACCTGCCTGGAAATTGCAAGATCCTGAGTTTGATTCTAGGTACCAAAAGAATAGAAAAGAAAAGAAAAAATGTTAGCTCAGAATTTTATTCTCATCAAACAGAATAATAGTTATGCCATGCCAGGAAAGATGTGGAAGAGAAGTATATGAAGAAAACACGGTCAAAAGGTACAGGAGTTCAGCTGGGTGGGAGGAGTAACTTCCAATGTCCTATAGTACGAAAGATTATGGTTGATAATTAATTGCATAGTTTCAACTTAATTAGTGAAGACAATTTTGACACAACACAAACAAATGATTAATATGTGACGTAAAAGATATGCCAATTACCTTGGTCTGATCATTAAAGATTGTATACTTTATTGAAATGTCACTATGTTTTACTCCCTAAGTATGTACAATAAAAACATATTTAAAAATTTTATTCTCACCAACTTGAATCCTCACATGCATTGAAAAGGAATAATGCACAGGAAATATATTTAACTCTCTGGACTCTGTCCCTCATGTTAATATCATCATTTTTATAAGTGATAATACAGGTAGAAGGCAGGAGGGCTTGTGGATGCCTATATATCCAGCACTGTGGAAGGCTCTCAAGTTTGAGGAGAGCCCAGGCAACTTAGCCATTTAGCAAGACCCTATCTCAAAAATTAGGATGGACCTCAGCACCACAAAAAAACAAAACAGAAAGAGAAGCAACCACCACCTAAACTGGCAGAGAATTATTCTTCAAGATAGAGGCTATTCAAGATATGATTTCAAAGGATAGTCATAGAAAATATCTAATTTATTTCATGTGAATAGAATAAACAAGACTTTCGATGTTGCCCACAGCATAGGAAAAAAGAATTAAGTCACTAATGGCAAAATATAGAAACACAAAATGGAGGATTTCTAGTTTATCAATATGATATTGCTATTTAAGGTTAGCTAATATATTGTGAATGACTGCCTATTCAATATTTTCAGTTGGAAATCTAACCTAAATTGAAACTCTTGGGCTGGGGAAATAGCTTAGAATTAGGGTGCTTCCCTAGCATGTATGAGGCCCCAGGTTTTATCCCTACCATTGCAAAAAGAATCCTAAACTTTCATGCTTACCTTCTACCAACTGGTCCCAGGCTCACCCAGCTGGTGGAGGCAAATATGTAATTGTCATCCTTTCTTTTTTTCCTACAATATGTATCTAATCCATCAGCAAGTCCTATGATCTTTACTTTTAAATATATCTTTAATTTGCCTATTTATTATCATTATCACTATGATCATCATTTCTCATTAGTACTACTTTTAAAAAGCCATTTAAAAATAATCAATACAGAAAATTTTAGGAATATACAAAAAGTAAGAATAATATGAATCCCCAAATTTCTAGCTTTAATTTATGGTTATTTTGTTTATTCCATATTCTCATCCCCTTCACCTAGATCCTCTACAGCAAAAATCATAATAGGTCTATCTGTAGCTACTTCTTTTCCCCTACTATTCAGCAAACAGCAACCCGAATGATTAAAAAATATATAGATCAGAGCCAGGAATTTACCTTAGCTGTACCAGCGTCTGCCCAGCAGGTATGAGGTCATGAGTTCGACCCCTGGTTCAAAAAAAAAAAAAACCAACCAACCAAAAAAAAAAAAAAAAAAAAAAAAATATATATATATATATATATATATATATATATATATATAAAGATCAGACAATCTTACTTCCCTGCTTAAACAGCTTCCCCTCAACAGCTTCCCTTCAGACTTATAAATGAAATATCAATCTTTAGTTTATTCTTCTTTTTATGCCCTGATCTTGTATCATCTCCCTTTTTGTTTTCTATGTACTAGTGGCACTGTTTTCAGTATTTCATGCCTCCTCCTCAGGGCCTTTGTGTCTTTTTAGGTACTGGGGATCAAACTCTCACAACCATGTACTTACAAGGCAAGTGCTTATGCTGCTGAGCTAAATCCCCGCCCCTTTGTTCTCTACTTGGAAGATTTTTCTCCTAAACTGAAATTATTTAAGTCTCAACTACCATATCACCATACTCTTATCCCAATCAAATTTTGTCCTATTGTTCTGTTTTGTTTCCTTAAGGATATTTATTATAAGCTAAAATTATATTCATGTATTTGTATCCATGATTAGAGTTATTGTCATATAACAGAATACAACCATCATAAGAACAAGGACTTCATTTTGCTGTATCCCCAGCAGAAGAAATAATATAAGATAAATACTCAAAAGAGTATTTATCTAATATAAGATAGATACTCAAAAGAAATGCAATGGATAGTTTGTTCCAAGGGTTTTTTTTTTTTTTCCACAATCATGTCTATTCTAGTACTGCAGCGTGGATTATAATTAAGGACAAGTCTTATATTTAAAAAATAATCATTAGAGAACTCAATGTATTTGGCAGCTTATGTATTAGATTACAAAAAATTTGATGATAAATTACTTGGCAAACTTAAAATCACCTCTATAATGTCAGTTAGTGACTTGGCTTTGCCCTTTAATAAAGTGCCATTATGCTGATAAAATACGGCAACCTGCCAAATAGATTGGGATATTTCTTCTAGAAACAAAACATAAGACTACAGATGCCACTTTAAAAATCTGCACGCTGTCTGGGAGAGCTGCCTAGATTTTGTTTTGTTTTCATCTTTAAATAAAGCATTACTCTCTTGTGGTCTGTTGCACAAGCCTTGCTCTGGTCACATCCGTAGTGTGCACATGGCACCCTGCTGTGGGTCACTGTTTTACTTACTTTACGGGAACAACCTAAAACAAAATGTCTGAGTGACAGGATAAGTGGGGTACACCACAGACAGGAAATGAAATTTACACTTCTGCCAACACAGCAACTATCTGCTTTTACTAAATGAAAATATCTTTAAAAATAAAGGCTACATATTCTACTTTTTCAACCAGGCAAAATAGCAGCTTTGGGTACTCTGGTTTCCAGTAAACAAAGCAGTTATCTAAATCTACAAAAGAAGTATATTTGTTGAGAGCTTAAAACAGCTGAGCATATATATTTTAATCATTCCTTTTGTGAGACAGAGATAGCTTCTCTTTGACAAATAGTTTAAGAACTAACTTCTGGGTTTTGAAAGTTCTGTAATTGTTTATGCTGTGAAGCATACCTAAGTACATTTTTACTTTAAAGCACATCTAACTGTGTTCTTCAAAATGTATGTAGTGCTTTCATAAGGATGAGGGCTGGAATGGTAAATGAGGGTCCTTGGTTAATTCAAAACTAGCTGGACTCGAAAAATTCCTGATAATAAAGAAAAGACCAAGAGTTGAATTCAGGTGTAAGGTAAAAGGGGCCTTTCTATTTGAATTATTTACAGAAATCTCAACAATCAGGGGCTGGGGATTTAGCTCAGCGGCATAAGCACCTGCCTTGCAAGCAGGCATTCGTGAGTTCGATCCATGGTACCAATGAAAAGGAAAAAGACTAAAAAAAAAAAAAGAAAAAAAGAAAAAGAAATCTCAACAATCTTTTAAGAAACAACAAAATGAAAAAAAAAAAAAAAAAAAAAACAGAAACAACAAAATGCACAGAAGACTCAGCTGGGCCAGAAGACTGCTTACTAAGCGTGAATCAGGTTTCCAGAGAGTTGTGGCAACACTCCGGTTGGTAAAATCAGTCCTCTTTATTCCACAGCCTCAGATCATGACTCTTCAGTTATCACAAGAGTCAAAAGGGAACCTGTAATGGTGTGGTTGATTACAAAAATTCTTTATCAGTACTGAAATGGAGACAATGTCATGGAATTGAAATAAAAATAAAATTCACAATCTCATAGTTTAGGTAAATCAAATTCAACCTGAAAAAATTAAATCTAAATTTAATTTCATTTACTTTAGTGGAAGGTAAAATAAAGCTTCGTATATCTTTCCAGAATGGTAAGGGATTTATTTATGTAAATATCAGCCTGAAGATTCAGTTGATAGAGTCATTCTCTAAGTAAAAATTTGTACAAAAGCAGGTGAGAACTTGTTTGCATTTTCTGAATCAACTAGTTCTGTAGACTTGGGCCCAGAAACAGGACCTTCTGTAATAGGCTGTACTGCCACCATATGAGTCCAGATACCTAAATCAAATATAAACCCAAAGGAATCAATAACCCCCATGGGAAAGTAGAAAAAGATAAAGAGAATACCACGTTCTCAATCTAAATGTGAGGGATGATGAGCTGCTTGATAA